AGCTGCTGGAGTGTGTTCAGAGAAGGGCAGCAAGGGAGCTAGGAGGAAGTACCAGGACTTTGGACAAGATTACCAGTCAAAATGAGCTTGACAAAAGAAGTAACCTGAAATCAGTAAGAATAAAGCAGCACTACTACTGGGAGAGATACACACAAACTGGAGACAGGTCAGGAATAAAGAAGCTACAAAGCACAAGAAATTTAGCAAACATGACTTGTAAGGAAATCAGGTCCACCTAGTCTAGAAAAGACTGCTGATGGGAAACACCAAGAAAAGGGTTGTGTTAAATTAATTTTCTCCATTTGTGGAAAAAACCACAGAAGTTAATTGTTTAATATGCAGTGAAGGAGACTTTTTCTTAGATATTTTGCTACACTGGTATATTTAAGAGAAGTTAAACATGACAATAGGGCACCTAGAAAATACAGCGCCTCCATACAGATTTTCAAAAAAGATCATTTGACTTGTATCAGAAGTGACCCAAGCATGACTAAACTTCTTCAGGATTGGAGAAATTTCTCAGAACAGAAGACGCTGATATTTCTCATACTCCTACGTTTCTTCAATCAGAAGTTCAGAAAGACACTTGCAACATTTCACTGTTTTCCTACTGAGGAAGCAAACATTAGATGTTACGAGATACGTTCCTCATTTCTTCCAAAGAAGAATGTACTCCCCATCTCTCTCTTTTTACTTCTCTCTCTTTTTTCTTTTTAAACTCTTTTAACCTCAGCATTGGCTTTCCACTGGGCTACTCTGATAAGAGGAAAATATTGCTACTACAATACTAAATAATAATAATTCTCACCTTTCTTTTACATCTGAGCTCATACTTCCATAACGCAACAGACACCTAAAAGAAAGTTACCCTTTTCTTCACTGCAAATGATCAGTTCTTTCCCAATCTGTGACTCTCATATTAGACATGACACAGATACTAGCTCTTAAACCTCAAGGATCATATCATCTTTGTTGCATTTTTTTCTAGATGTTCAATTATTTGTAGTTAACCTACTTTTAGGAAGAAGAGAGGATTCAGACCAGAATTTACAACATCACCAAGGGAAGTTTATAGGATGGGAAGTCAGCTGTTTCAAGATAACCAGTGTACATCACTGCAATATAGAACAACAGCTGCAGAATAACTACAGCACTTTGTGTTCTTACAAGTGGGACAATCAGAAAATATGGTGAAGAGCTGAATTTACCACACTCTGTAATAGGAGCAAGAAAAGATAAAACAAAGCAACTAAGAACAGAACTGCAGGAAACTGCACTTCAATGAGCTTTCCACTGAGCAGTTTCTAAGGAAAGTATGTAGTTCTAGGACAGGTGTGGTAAGATTACAGATTTATGGTTGAGTATTCAAAAGATATCTGAAGTATTACCTAAGACAACTTCTACTGAAATTAAACTCCAGTGGAAAAAGAGTGGGCTTTTTGAAACATCGGTAAATATTGTACCTGCACTAATGAGTCATCAACAGAATCTAAAAAGGGTAAAACGCCTACCCAGCATTTCCAAGGTGAGGTACAAGAGAGCACTCTGAGTGTTCTCAGCATATGTTTCAAGCTCCTGGATGTTACGGTACGCTCTATCATCCAAATTCTTCTCCTGTAATATGAACACAGAACTTCAGTAAAATGTAAATATAACTGCTATTTGTACAAGTTTATTACTACAGTCATGTCAGCCTAATTCACTATTAGAAAAAAAAGGACAAAATTAAGAGACAGAAAGAGAGTATAAACTCAGATGGAAGTAGTTATTAAAGCTTATAGCAAGTCTAACGTAACCAAATAACTACATGCAACCACAGCCAAGTCTGGTTACTGGAGCAAATATAACTTTTTGCAATAATAAGACATCAGAATTCTTCATTAAAAAAGATACAGCCAAAACAAAACATCATGTGGTATTCTTACAACTATGAGGTTGTGAATTTTAATACTTAATTTGCAGATGAAGCACAGAGAAATTTAGATAAACAGGAATGTATTTTTTAAAGCATGCACAAAAATCAATCCATCAAATACACACACGAGTTTCAAACTCATATGCAAATACACCCAAAAATAAAACATCCTCATTCTTCCTGTCCTAGAGGCTTTTGTGGTTAAAACATATCAGTGTTAAGATTAAAAAACAGTCTTAGGATTAAAAAATTCTGAAGTCTTTCATAGCAACGACACTCCGCAATTAACTGACCATCAATTTTCTCAAGGTATAACTTCATGAGACTAACTTGAGCAGCAAAGCTAGCTTAAGAAATTCCTGACCTCAGCTATTCATTCTTGCCCTTGTTTCAGAGTTGGCAGCAGCATCACTGTACCAGTGTAATTCTTCCCGTTGTTTTTTCCCAGAAAAAAGGTGGATATTTTAAAATTCATGTGGTTTGAATGCTCCAGTTTATAGCACTGCTTAGAAAAAACTCCACAGCCATGATAAGGAGAAGCAGCAAAGTGTAGCAGAAAGGTTCAGACAGGGCATTTATTTTGAGATTTTATATCCATGACTCATCACAAAAGAAGGCTATTTAGGGGCAAAATTGACATGGTAAGAAAAGAGGTGAGGCACCATAAGATGATGCCAATGATGCAGATTTGTGCAACTTTTTGCAATACGCAAGATGTCCTTTCTCTTGGGGCACAAGTGGAATGGCACAAAAAGAGACCATATGTGAGTTTCTCTTCTTGCATATCTTCATTTCTTTTTCTATTAAAATGTCATTTCCCAGAATTCTTAACAGATGCATATGGAGACCTTACTACTTAATCCCTCTAGGATGGAACTTCCCTGACTTATATACAGAAAGGTATCTAACTGTAATTCCCAATCAATTACCTCTAGGGGTAACCACTTCAAATCAGGAATAGAGACCAGCAACAGAAAACATGTGCACAGATACACTGGTTATCAGAGCAGGGAACAAGAAAGATGTGGGCTCACAAACTACATCTGTTTTAAAGAAAAAATAAACAAAGGATTCTATTAGCCTGTTTGGCCAGAAAGAGCAGAAATTATGAGTAGGGGCATCAAGGGAGAATTAAAAGGAAATATAGCATTACCATTCTTAAAGAGAAATACTACTGTCTGGAAAAGATAAGTACTTAAGTTTTTGTTTTACACACGATCACATAAAAATAAGAGGGGAAAAAAACACCAAATATGACTAACAACAGAATCAGACTTTGAATGGTAAATACTTACTCTTTCATCAATGATCTTCATGAACCACATTTTAGTCAAGTTATGCCTCTTGACAGCCTGAAAATTATCAAATAAAACATCCATGTTAATCTATACAAAGTGATGGTAGTACTGCATTCTGAAGGCTGAAATATATTTTAGATAATACTTCTCTTATAAGGATTGTATTCACTGTGTTAAATCAAAGTGGTATGCCAGTGGAAAGTGAGAATCTTCTTCAAATACAAAAGTTTTCTACTGGCATTTGTTACAAGCTGTGGCACACACAAAAAAAGGAATATTGAACATCAAGCCAGTTAAATAAAAGCATTTCTTTAAAAATATTTTTGAAAATAATTTACTCTTTCATGGAGTCATATGTTCCCACAAAATATCTGCAGATAACTATGTTCACTGTCCAAAGAGAACAGTTTCCTCCAGAGTTAAGCAATAAAAAAATTTCCCCTGTAAATTTTCAAGAAAACATCAGTATAACATACCAATATGTACTGTAAAGACAGCATCCTAATGAAGTAATATAATGGATATTATGGTTTTGTTTAAAAAAAAGTATCCCACAATATCTCATATTCACACAGTCTTCTTTTGGCTCTTATTTTGTATTTGACATCCTTCCTATACCACTTCATTCTATCAACTCACCTTCAATCTTACTTACACACACTGAATTTTGCAGACCACATTGTCAGAAAGGCTACAATCACACATATAAATATTTATAAACAAAACCTACAGAGCAGATTTCTCACAATCTCAGCCTTTATAGCTTACTTTCAACTTCTTCTTTACATCCATTATATTTGTAAGTATTTTTTCAAGGTTTGACAAGACTAGATCTTGTTGATTCAATATAATCTGCTTGAGGAAGTACTCGGTATGTGAAAAGGCAAATTTTAAGTTACAACTACAAATGTCAGTATTGCTTCTCACTTGTTTGTCTTGAGTATCACTTTGTAAATTAAATCCTTGAAACAGTCACAGGTGAAGACTTAAAGCACCAAACTGACTTCCGCTAAATCACCCAATTTGTACATTACATTCATTTTGAGCTACCGTCATTCAAACACACAGGTCCTCATTTTTCTAAAGTTTTGAAAATTGGCTTCTTCCACCGAAATGAATGGAGAATTAGGCATCACTCTTCATACATTCAAAATGGACAGACAAGTAAGAACAAGTATAATACAGTTGCCATATACGTTTATATTAAAGTTACTGAGAGTTGAGCTATTAATAATTCTAGAAATACTATTAAAGACTATTTATACATGTTACTAGTGCATCAAACTCTTGGAATACAAATGTGAGTATTCTGAGATACACAAAACTTTGGGAACACATTTAACACAATAAATCAGTATTTATTCTGGAAAATCAAAATTGTCCTCATAAAAGCTCAACAGCAAGAAAAGAGTAGATATAAAATATGATGCGCAAAAGACATGCTAATTCTATTAACAGTTCTGCAATACTTGTGAGTTCAGGTGTCCTTCCAAATCCTTCTTTCTAAGGATTGCAATGACATTCTTGAACATTTGTGAAGTTGTGCTCTTCAAACAGGTCATTCTTGGGGTATTTGCTGAAATGTAGAAATAAAATTGCATCTTGACTGCAAAGGTCACCAGGTCGGGTTGGATTATTAGTTTGCTCCAGCGCTCTACAGTGTTCAGAGCTATGAGAGCTCCTAAAAGTACTTTCTGATTTATTTTTCAACATCTCATTTCACAACCAGTCCGTTTCGATTGTCTTATATTGGTCTTCCTTTAGAGAAATCATATGTGAGGTGAAACCTTACCACAGAGATAGGCCAGTTCTTTCTTCCACTTCAAAATCAGTTTTCTGTTTTGTGAGAAAGGAGTATGACTGGCAGCCTTAGCTATTGGAAAGAGTTGTAACTGATATCTCAATATTTGAATGATTTACATCTGAATGTTGTACTGGCTTTGGCTGGGATAGAGTTACTTTTCTTCACAGTAGTTTGTATGGGGCTGTGTTCTGAATTTGTGCTGAAAAGAGTGTTGATAACACACTGATGTTTTAGTTACTGCTGAGCAGGGCTTACACAGAGTTAAGGCCTTTTCTGCTCCTCACCCCACCCCACCAGTGAGGAGGCTGGGGGTGCACAAGGAGTTGGGAGAGGACACAGTCAGGACAGCTGACTCCAACTGACCCAAGGGATATCTCATACCATATCGCGTCATGCTCAGCAATAAAACTAAGGGGGAGCCTGTGCTCAGAGACTGCTTGGGGGACTGATACACACACAAGCAGCCTAAAATTAGAAGTGGTCAAAAGAATATATACAATCATACCCAAAACTAACTTGTACCTAACCCACTTGATCAGACAACTAAACAAGAGGATATCTTGAGAAACAAAAATAAATTAAGCTACACTAAAGCAAGTTCCTCCTTGGAAAGGACACAAAAGCATTCTGGGAGAAAATGGTCTTGTTCCTGGGAAGTTTGCCATATGCTGGAAGAGACACAGAAAGGAGGAAATAAAAAGCAAAAGCACAGCCAGATTGACATGCAAAACAACTAATTCTGCATTTTAATGCTCACATTAAAGCATCACCTTAGGTGCATCTTCAGCTCCCATAATCCCATAAAAAGGCTCAAAACATTTGCTAGTCTTCATTCTAACTGTACGAATGCTTTGTTGTGTCTAAGGCACACACTTTATCTGAGCTGGAGACACCTAGGAATAGCTCTGGTCCTCCTAAAAGTGACTCTAATAGGTGTTTTTCTTTTATTTTACTTCTTGGCTTTACCTATGTTTGCTCTTAGTTAAACAAAGTGTATCTTGTTTAAATCCCAATTTTAATCTAAACATGAACGTTGATAGACAGGAACAAATGCTCACTTATGCTTTATTTCACATTTGAAGGAGGAAGAGTCAGGGAGACGCCACAGTTTCAGCACTGCCAAAAACCACTGAAAGAGGATTTGGAAAGGACTCATTTTTGCGGTCTCAGAGGTGCAGCAGAGTGGATGTGAAGCCAAAATGGCAACAAGTGAAATGCTCTAATCCCACAGGAACTGCACTGTTCTAACCCAGCATTACAGTGAGTGTCCTGCTTTTCCCGGGATTTTAACAGGAACAATGCAGATCAATACTTGGATGAAGACACCACATTTCACTGCCTGTTTTTCAGCAGGTCCATAAACCTAACTACCTATGGGATCTATGTTAACTGTATTCAGCTACTGAGATCTAGACAAACTGCAGCTTTTCCTGTCCAGCAGCTCAGAGGTCTTTAGTTTAAATGCAAGTTCCGATCTTACAGAGTAGAGGCCTTAGGGCAGCTGCTCTTTTGGAAGGTTCTGTGGCCTATGGCCCTAAGATGGCAAGTTAGCAATGTATGGAATTTCCATCCCCAAAGAAATTCAAAATTCAACTCGATGTGACCCTGGCAACCTGATCTAACTTTGATGTTAGACCTTCTTCGAGTGGCAAGCTGGACTAGATGACAACCAGAGATCCCTACCAACTAAATTATTCTGTGGTTCTATATCAGCATCAAGGGGAAATCCATTTACACTGCCTTCAGACCTTCAATCATCCATCGAACGTATCAGTAACAGTCCTAACTAGAAACAAAAAAATTTGGAAGAAAACCTCTGTTTCTTTGGCCGTGACCAGCAGAGGAACAGATCTGTAGGTGTACCTTATGTGTGATGTTCTAGTGCCTGCAGAACTCCAGCATCTTGGTAAAAATAAACTGTTAAGTTCACAGGAATATTCCCTGTTACTCAATGCACTGTTAAGTTAACAAGTACATTCCCTGTTATTCAATACACACAAACAGATCTGTGCAAAACATAATACGTAAATAAAAGTCATCAAGCAATTCTTGATGCAAGGAGAAGACTGTATTAAGATTCTCCCTATTACCCAGGAACTGCATATGAAGGTCTTGGGCTTTTCCTCATACCCTATTTGCTAGTTCATACCCTGTGTTTAGCCTCCTGTCTTTTTGTACAGCTTAATCTCTTCAGGCAGGACTAGCACTGGCTCAGGAAAGTATACTTATGTACTTCACTTGCTATCAACTTATGGCTTACCACAATTTACTCTGTCATTCACCTAAACAGAAGAGAAAAAAGCAGATGGTTCACAGAAGTCTGACCCTCCAAGTACATCCTACCTAAATATCCTCCTTCTCCAACTCTGCTCTTTGGTTGTAGGTAACTTACAATATCACACACAGACACAAACACAATTTACATTATCTATTTTATATAAAATAATGCTGTTAAGTATGCAACACAGCACACGCAAAACAATGACATTATTTCCCACAGTAATATTTTAGTTAAGTTAATTTTAGGACAATAAAGGTATACTTTACCCTCCACAGTTCCGTAGCAACCGGTTGATGTGGTGGGTTATCGCAGTATATATCTTCCACAGCCTCCCTCCAGAATTGCATTCGCATCAAACCTGTAGTCTTCTGAGTTATGGAGTCTTTAATCTGGAAAGGATATATCTGGAGTGAAATTCAGGGTCTTTAAGGCACTTGGCCTATCTACACCTATCTACACCTTGGCCTGTCTTTTCAGACAGACACAGGACATAGCCAAACTCAGCGGGTAAAGTGCTCAGCTCTGAATTTATGTTTATTCCTCATAAAGTATATGAACACTACAGAGAATAAAAATCATCTTCACCACAACCTGACTTTGAAACCCATGGAGATTAAGTCCTAGGCGACCCTTACCTTAGATTTCTTCCCAGAAGCAAAAGAAGCAGTGGTAACAGCAGCAAGGGAGGACAGAACCACGGGTTGCCAGAAGCACAGCCCACAGAAGCTGATCATGGGTTTTGCCTGATCAGCACATTTCCTGGATCACTCCTTTCTGGCAAGCAACTTTCCTGATTGCACTGGCAGTTTCTGGCCACCTAACAAAGGGGAGAGACCGCAGCCACCCCCCTCCCACAACTCTCTAATTAGAAACTTCCCTCCCGGCAGCCTTTCCATCACCTAGCTTCTGCCAACAAAGACCTGGGACTGATTATATCATCCAAGTTTTTGACAGACCTTCTACAGATAGGATATAGCTGTACTTTACCGATTCAGTCATCACATTTGAAGCCAGGACATAGATGCAATCACGTAACAGTATCAAGGACCACAGCCTGTTTGTTATCATTTAATTTTAAAATGCAGAGGAAAGTCAGAAAAACTATATACATTAAAAAAATAAATTGGGAGAGGCTGGCTACTTTCCAAGAGCCATTCAAAACTAGAGGTTTGTATTGCACTATTTATTAATTGCCCCTTATAGTGCAAAAAGTTAATCTTGGCAAAACTCCACCTACTAGTGTAATTTAGAATATCGAAACAGTTATTTTACATTTCCAGAGTTTGCAAATATATTTTAATACCTGCCTGAGCCAGTTCCACATTGAAGGCTCTCAAGGCAAAAGCAGAGGTTCGAGATTCCACAGGCAACAGCAGAGAACACAGAAACCCTTCATAGTCCCGCTTTCTATAAAAGGATAAAAGAATACATTTATTGTTTATTGCTCTATGTAAATTGGCTGTGCTATTGCTTAGCACCGAACTCCTAAAACAGTGGCAATAAGTTATAGTTAAAAACTCTGACTTTGCAAAAGTAGCAGCTTTTAAGCTTATTTTAAAATAAGACAAATTCCAAGAGAGAGGGGATGCTGTCTGAACTCTTAGTGCACCTCTGAAATCCAGATCTCAAAATATTTGGCTAAAGGCATGGAACAAGGCTGTGGCGGAACTGCAAATAGAATCCAGACCATCTGACTTCAAGACTACTGTTCCAAACATGAAACCACATTTCTTTAAAAGATTGTGCTTTGGAGCTTGGCAGAAGAGTGTTTGCTTAACCAGTAAGTTTTTCTTTATTGGCAACTATATTCAAAGCATAAAAACTCTGGACCTTGGCAGTTTCGCTGCAGGTAACTTGTTGCCAATCCAGAGTGATATGCCTTTGTTTGGCCACTTGGGTGTGCCATTAAATTAAAAACAATCACAGAATCATAAATTGCAAAATCATACATAACTGTAGCTAACAAAAACACGTGGTCACCTCTGAAAAGCTAAATTGCTTGTTTTGAACAACATTTTTGTGTACTTTCTGACAAGCCTGTAACCTGATTCTTCACTACAACAAGACAAGCTACTCCCAAGTTTCACCTCGAGAGTGGAGAAGCAGGTGTCAAGAAGAACACACGTACTCTTTTTCAGGAAGTCTGCTGTTCTTACGTTACTCATATTTCTTTTGAACGTGAGCTTAAAATAGCAAAGCCAAACTAAAACCAAGGGTTATTAGGGTTGCTACTTCTAGCATCAAACAAAAAGGAACCGAGATTTAAGAGCGGTTCTTATCCCTACAATACACAGCAGCTGGTAACTAGCAAATGCTTAAGAGTTTTCACAACAGTTGTGAAACACGTTTTAGAGCTTGATGCAAATCCAGAAGCATCAACAAGAAAAATTACATTTGCAAATTTTAGCAGGCTTTAAAGGTCACCTTCATATTAAAGAACAGATGCATCAAACCTCCCTCAATTAAGACACTTTCTGAAACGTATCGTCAACTCAAAACCTAATATTGTTTAAGACTGACTGTAGTAATACCCTGTATTGCCCACGCTGTGCAGAGCCGAAAGGTTTACAGCCCCATTTTCCCAGTTCCAGTTATGCAGCTTGCCTGCGTTGTTCACACAACGCAGAACCACCTCCAATTCCAGAAAGGAAACAAAGAAAAACATTACACAAAGTACATAGCAACAACATAGATAAGTTTGTCTTCCCTCTAGTAACACTGTCGGCATGTTGGTTTTTTCTCTTTTCCCAATGATTCTAAGGTTAAAAATCAAGTGTAGCAAAAAATAGTTAAAAAAAAAAAACAGAAAGAAATGTGAATTTTACGCTGACAGTGCACCCTTGGACATAACAGTAGAAAAGCAAATCCACTAAGCCTCAGCCTGTAAGATAAAATTGATATTGCTATAGGTCATGTTCCACCCCAGCCCTCTTCATGTATTAGCGTACGGAATGAAGAAAGGAGGGAATGACCTTAAGTCTGGTATTGAGCGTTATTCATAGTTTCCCTCTCAATTAAGTATAAGCTTACATATGAACCCAAAGATGGAAGAGAAGTTGGCCATGACCATTACTTTCAGTATAATGAATTTCTTCCACATTATAAAACTCCGTAATACCATCACACCACAAGTTTGTCTTCTAGAGTAGATGTCATACACAGCAAGAGAGAGAAGACATACCTACTAGGGAAACATTTTTATTCAAATACCTTAAAGCTACTTTTAAAATAGTCGTTTAACAGAAAAAGGAAAACTGAAGAGAAGGACATCTTGCATATTGCAAAAAAGTTGCACAAATACACATCATTAGAGCATAAGTCAGTTGTTCTTCCTAATGTGTCAAATTCAGGACTCGGGAGTTACTGATGCTTGCATAGCCTCAAGCATTTAATTTCTGTTTGAATAGTAACTCCTTCCTCATTTTTTATAACTTATGATTTTCATGCAATATATGAGCTACTGTGAACAGCAGCTTCAATTAAATTATGCCAAAAGCATAAACACCTTTAATTTTATTTTTTTGAATGCTTGTGTATTTTTATAAGTAGTCCTTTCTATGGTTTAACAAAAATAACAAAAAAAACACTTTACATTCAACTATCTCAGCTTCTGTGTCTTGGAACCTAAGTATTCTGTTCACAGCTGTTTATTACTGAAAACATTCTACCTGTCTATGTTAAGATTACCTGTATATTAACTGTACACACAGCCTCTGATCTCCTGAGTAACAGGTCAACAAATCCCAGGGTAGACTAACCAGGAAAACAAAGCTGTAATCTGCAGTTTTATCAAGGAAAACGCAACCTGGTTGTGCATTCTGATGCATCTGTAAAGGTCTGCTGCCTGGCGCTGCACAGAAAATTTAGGATTGTCACATTTCTTTCCATTAGTTTTCCTACTTCAAACATTACTGCTGACCACACACACCTTTATGTATTTTACAAGCATCAGTTTGGAGAAGAGGATCCTGTTTTTCTATACATGCTTGGAAGCCTTCTCCCTGCTTTTGTCAGCCGCCTAGGACAACTGTATCCAAAGAGAAATTACTTAAGTCTTTACAAAGAGGCTTGTTAATTTTTCAGTCCGTACCTCTGAACTCTTGTGGACTAAAAAGCAGCTGAGGGGCCTTCCACATTGTTTACGGCCAAAAAGCCAAGCAGAAAACGTTGCCTGGCCTGAAAGCATCCAAGCTGTGCTCCAGCTCCTCTTGGAGCATTTTGGGTTTGACCAAAAATGGATGATTTTGAAAATATCGGCTTCCTGCCCCTCCTGCATTCAGGTTAGAAAGAGAAGCTTCTTGAGCAGCCTGTCCAGCTGTCGGATTTCCTCTGCTCTTACTCATTTTTCCAAAGAGTACTTGGGAAGCTTAGCTATTTCCCAGTAGCCAGGAAGATCAGAAAACACCCATTATTTTTAAACATGCACTTCGGTGATCTTTCTCTCCAAAAAGCCGAGACAATGAAATGGAAACGTTCAATATTTCAGAAGAAAAGCAGCTGTGAAGAAGCGCGGGAGGGAGATCGCCATTTGCGGGTTATATCATCCAAGCAGCTTAAACATTTGCCTAGTCTCCGCTACTCCCCCCCTCCGAACCGGCGAGGTGCCA